AATTGGGGGGTGGTCGATCAAGCACCTTAATTGGGGGGTGGTCACTCAAGCGCTTTGAATGGGAATGCTCATTCAAAGCGAACAAGGTAGGGGGAGGGGATCTGGATTTTGAATACTATCCACAAAGCAAGAATGCCAAGTCTATCTCTAACAGTCGATACTCCCACGTTAGTGAATAGTAGATGTCATGTAGATGTCAGGGGGGGAATAGTAGATGTCAGGGTTGAACTTAGATGTCATGTACAAAAAGATATTTTACGATACAGTCTATGTATGTTTCATCCCTTAGCTGTAAACACAAAACCGAACTATGCATGCGGGTACGAATGGGAATATTAGACCAGCCAAAATTACCGCGACACACCAAACGCAGCCGTGCCACAAACTTTCTCTTCGTTTTTATTTAACTTTCTGACTCCGGCCGTTCCACATTTGGATTTCCTTGGACCGTCCATCACTTCTAAGACAGCGGGGAAAACAGGAAACATGTAGTGCAGGGTAGTAGAAAACTATTATGGAGGTTGTATTCAGCATATGAGTGCATTCCAGGTACTTCATAGTGATAGTGTAGCTTCTTTCGGTGATGGCAGCGATAGTAGCTTTGAACAGGTAGTGCAGATTTTCAAAAAATATTTTCCACCAATCGGTATTTTTATGAAGCAATATCTTTTAACTGAATTTGCGAATAGATCTGAAAAATTTGCGGGACAGATTTTTTCGAATTCTCTGGTTTGATAAATTTAGGTGTTTTCTGACAAAAGAAAACAGAACCAAAGAAGTGAATAAAAAATGAATAAAAAAAATGAATTTAAAAAAATGAGTAGAAAATGAAAAAAAAAATGAATTTTTTACGGCATGGATAGGGTGAATTGGTCATTTCAGGTCTTCTTCTACAATCCATCAACACGTACATCAGTATGGGAAAGACCACCGGACCTGTATAATCGGCCAGATGTTGATTTATTGGTCTCAAAACCTCCGGAAGAAAAAAGTTAGTTCATTTTCGTTATTATTGGGCACAAGCAGTTTTTATCTTGGGAGGGGGGATAGAAGGGGGAGGGGTCTTAGTCACATTTGTGGTAACGCTGTGTTAATGGCAATGACGTACGGTTGCGAAAACTGTCACTGACAAAAGCAGAAGAGCGAGTGCTAGCTATAACGAAGGGAGTAATATAAAGGAAAAGATGTTTCGCTTTCTTGACGAATAGATTCAGGCAGTTCGTCAGGATGAGAAGCCTGCAAGAAATCAGAGCAGTAATGAAAGAAAGTAAAATCCGATAGGCATGTTGCTTATTTGTCTGGCAGTTGTTGAAATTCGCATGTTAGTGAGTGCTGCTTACAAGAAAAAATAGTGCGCATGTGCTTTTCTCATGAAGTGATATTTATTAGAAAGAAGGCGAAAGAGTTTTCAAAAATGTGAATCAACTGTGTGTGTGATGGGTGTGTTGGGTGTGTTTGTGCGTGTATGTGGGTGTGTGTGTGTGTTTGTGTGTGTGTGTTTGTGTGAGTGTGTGTGTGGATATGTGTGGGTGTGTGTGTGGGTTTGTGTATGTGTGTATGAAGAGAGTCAGGAATAAATGCAAGTGCGCTGGGATAATAAGATCCGGGGGTGCAGCTGCCCTTCCAGATTAGGGGTTTTTTAAGTTTTTGAATATGGAAAAGTACTCATTTCATATTCGACTGTTTGATTGTGTCAATATTTTGTAGAGCCAGATGCCGCGAAAGAAACGGACGACGATCGGGGATCGGCAACTTCCGAGGGCAGCGATAACGATGAAGAAAATGCCCCGCCGGCTGCCAAGAAAAGCAGAAAAGAGAAAAAATTGTACATTTTTCGCATCAGAAGATGCTCTTTTCACTACTGGCTCGAAAGCCAGGGGCGAGGGAGGGAGGAGGGGGGCATCAACTCGATGTACACCATTACTTATCTCTGAGGAATGTTTTGAGAACTTTTTTTTTCGCAAACTTAGTATTTCAAGGAATGTGAAAAATCTTAGAGTATGCTATGGCAGTTTACTGCCAGTCTTTTTAGTTTACGTGGCCCATTTGTGGTAACGGTAAGAAACGCATACGATTTAATGGACCGAAACATTTCTTATTTTTACAATAATTTTATTAAAATAGTTTTACTATTTCTGCTAATTTCTTAATTCTTATTTCCAAATTTCCTCTTTATTCTCCCTCTTATTTCAGTATACCTATTACATAAGTATATTACTTATTTTAAAACTGCTACGGAATGATTGTTACATAGATTTGTGTGGTGGTGTTTGCCAAATTGCCGTAATTTTTTTGGTGTCAATTATGGATTTCAGAGAAAAGCAACGCTTGGAACAGCTGGCTGCAAAGAAGGAAAAAGACAGGCCAAGACAAATGCTCGAAAAGCAGGTAGACCCAGCAATACAAGCTGAATTACAGGCACAGAAGGAAAGAGAAGAGGTTTATATCTTTTGGTCAATGCTCTTGGGTTTTTATGAAAATAGTAAAAACAACTTGAAAAAAATTGGCCAACGCACGGGCTGCCCGTGCGAAGATGCGTTTTTTGCAGAGTTCCCC